TCCGTTAGCGTAAATTATAATATTTATTTACTTAAAATTGACATTGGTTAAGCATTATAGTGCATTTGAAATATTGGATAATTGTAGGATTTTCTTCTATAATTTTCAATAACCATTCTAGTGAATGTAAAATTTTCCATGATTATTTTTTTTTAACTTAGTTGGCTTCATTAGGTACCAATGTGTTATCCAAATATTTTGTCTTCTCATGTATGCGGCAATTACGCATTTCACAAGTTATTATGTGATATTTATGAGGAAAAAAATATTGTGAAGTTTAATAAGTAAGGACACTGATCACATTCACCATCAAAATAAGCTATTCACACAGTTCTGCAAAACTAATTTCACACCTCTGCAAAACTAATTTCAAACCTAAATTTAACATTTTTTAATTCTTTCATTTGTCATCTGTTAGTGTAAATTATGATTTTTTTTTTTTACTTGAAATTGACATTGGTTAAGCATTCTAGCGTATTTAAAATCTTCGATAATTGTAAGATTTTCTTCTATAATCTTCATAACCATTCTAGTGAATGTAAAATCTTGCATAATTGTTTTTTTTTTTAACTGAATTGGCTTCATTAGGTACCAATGTGTTATCCAAATATTTTGTCTTCTCATGTATGCGGCAATTACACATTTCACAAGTTATTATGTCACATTTCTGAGAAAAAATACATTGTGAAGTTTAACAAGTAGTGACACTGATCACCTTCACCATTAAAATAAACTATTTACACAGCTCTGCAAAACTAATTTCACACCTAAATTTAACATTTTTTAATTCTTTCATTTGTCATCCGTTAGTGTAAATTATGAATTTTTTTTTCTTGAAATTGACATTAGTTAAGCATTCTAGCGTATTTGAAATCTTGGTTAATTGTAGAATTTTCTTCTATAATCTTCAATAACCATTGTAGTAAATGTAAAATCTTCCATAATTGTTTTTTTTTAACTGAGTTGGCTACATTAGATACCAATGTATTATCCAAATATTCTGTCTTCTCATGTATGCAGCAATTACACATTTCACAGGTTATTATGTCACATTTATGAGAAAAAATACATTGTGAAGTTTAATAAGTAGGGACACTGATCACCTTCACCATCAAAATAAGCTATTCACACAGTTCTGTAAAACTAATTTCACACCTCTGCAAAACTAATTTCACACCTAAATTTAACATTTTTTAATTCTTTCATTTGTCATCCGTTAGTGTAAATTATGATTCTTTTTACATGAAATTGGCATTAGTTAAGCATTCTAGCGTATTTGAAATCTTGGATAATTATAGGATTTTCTTCTATAATCTTCAATAACCATTCTAGTGAATGTAAAATCTTCCATAATTGTTTTTTTTTTAACTGAGTTGGCTTCATTAGATACCAATGTGTTATCCAAATATTTTGTCTTCTCATGTATGCTGCAATTACACATTTCACAGGTTATTATGTCACATTTATGAGAAAAAATACATTGTGAAGTTTAATAAGTAGGGACACTGATCACCTTCACCATCAAAATAAGCTATTCACACAGTTCTGCAAAACTAATTTCACACCTCTGCAAAACTAATTTCACACCTAAATTTAACATTTTTTAATTCTTTCATTTGTCATCCGTTAGTGTAAATTATGATTCTTTTTACTTGAAATTGGCATTAGTTAAACATTCTAGCGTATTTGAAATCTTGGATAATTATAGGACTTTTTTCTATAATCTTCAATAACCATTCTAGTGAATGTAAAATCTTCCATAATTGTTTTTTTTTTTAACTGAGTTGGCTTCATTAGATACCAATGTGTTATCCAAATATTTTGTCTTCTCATGTATGCGGCAATTAAACATTTCACAGGTTATTATGTCACATTTATGAGAAAAAATACATTGTGAAGTTTAATAAGTAAGGACACTGATCACCTTCACCATCAAAATAAGCTATTCACACAGTTCTGTAAAACTAATTTCACACCTCTGCAAAACTAATTTCACACCTAAATTTAACATTTTTTAATTCTTTCATTTGTTATCCGTTAGTGTAAATTATAATTTTTTTTACTTGAAATTGACATTAGTTAAGCATTCTAGCGTATTTGAAATCTTGATTAATTGTAAGATTTTCTTCTATAATCTTCAATAACCATTCTAGTGAATGTAAAATCTTCCATAATTGTTTTTTTTTTAACTGAGTTGGCTTCATTAGATACCAATGTGTTATCCAAATATTTTGTCTTCTCATGTATGCGGCAATTACACATTTCACATGTTATTATGTCATATTTATGAGAAAAAATACATTGTGAAGTTTAATAAGTAGGGACACTGATCACCTTCACCATCAAAATAAGCTATTCACACAGTTCTAACAAACTAATTTCACACCTTTGCCAAACTAATTTCACACCTAAATTTAACAGCTCTTGGGATTTAATGGAGCCGGCTCTTGAAGTTCAATGGAGCCGGCTCTAAGTTGTTGAGCCGGCTCTTTGAGTTGGCAGCCGGCTCGTAATAAATATGGAGCCGGCTCTCAGAATTTTTAGAGCCGCTCCTTGCGAAGCAAAAAATAAATAAAAATAAAAGAAAAAAAAATAATGGACAGCCGGCTCAAGAAGAAATGTGGAGACGACTCAACCAAATTTTTTGGAGACGGCTCAATTAATTTGTAGAGCCGGCTCTTTTGGGCTTTTTCAGAGATGCCGAGAGATGGATGTTTAACGGAAGGCAGATTTAACGGAATAATGCGTTTTGCACCATTTTAGTGGAGACAAACTAAAGCACACGTGGCCAAACTAAGGCCTTTCATCAGCTCACAGCAGGGGACTACAAGGTAACTCACAGCAGGGGACTGCAAGGTAACTCACAGCAGGGGATTTGAGCCCTATTTTAAAAGGGTAACTTTATGTTGAGAGTCTTGAGACAGAGTCGGCTTTCTGAATCGCGTAAATAATTAGCCCATTCAAAATACTTGGCCCATTAGCAGGACTTATTTTTATGAAACCCCACTACGGGCTAATGCCCCGAGTCCACAACGAACAATTCCTGTAAAATTGCAAAGCCCATTCAGAAAACTTTAGCCCATTTCCAACCTTTACTTAAATGGAACCCATAACCATGGCATGAGAATAGAGTAGTATGAGAAAGAAGCCTTGGTGTTTTATATACTGAGCCAATCACACCGAACGGCCGTGATCTATCACACATGTAAAGATACCAACTCTTTATGGTGTTATCACAAATTCAAGTCCGATCATCATTGAAAGACTGAACTAAGCATAGTACAAATGGTTCTCTAATCATGATTTGATTGAAGTCATCAAATGGTTTGAAATAATTTAATACATAATAATAGTACTTTTTGTGTGTGTGTGTGTGTGTGTTACTGTGTGTAGGTCATATGGCAATGATGGTTTTGCCCATCATTCCCCTATCATAGACTGGGCTTTTCTTAATATGGTAGCACAATTGAGGACCCTTTTAAAGCAGTGCAAATGTTCTCACACTTTCACTATCATATCTTAAATTAATTTATACAAACATACACACAAAGTCACAAACATGAAATAATTTTAGTCTTGTATCATAGGAAGACAAACCCCCCACATCCGCCGCTTGATGTAATAATATCACATGTTTTTTGTTGGGCCCTAACAAGTCAAAGTAATGATACCATACACATATAAACAAACAAACTTGAACTTAAAAGTGTCATTGGCTTGTAGTGGTGAAAGAGTTGTGTGATTTGTATTTGTCAAGAGGACCAATTGAACATATGATTACTCTTTTCTTGGTTATAATGACCAATATATTTATATATATGAATGGTCACTGATTGGAGTCAAAAGAGTAGATAGATCAAAGATGAACATTATGAGGGATAACATTTTTAAGAAAAAGGTCCTAGAGAAACTTTTGTGGGTAGTGAGTTCCACATCCTCCCTATATTGATGCTGTATAATATAGCTTGATTATAACTTTATCATATCTATATTTAGGTTCTTATCTTAATCATGAGTCCTGCAATGATTCAAATGTTAATTGTAGTTAATTATAGCCAATTTGGGGATCAAACTTCTTCTTTCCCTTAACATTTTATATACAACTTTTTGTACTGTAAATGATTATCGACTGAAAATATTTGCAATTGAAAGGCCATATAGTTCAATTAGAATAACCACCTTTCATTTCTGAGGTTTGGTGTGAAAAATATGTGAAAATTTTATATCTAAACAATTAAATGAAGAAAACAACTTTACTTGGATGGCTAATAAGAAAAGATATCTGCAGATATTAAAGCATTCTTAAAGAAAAGTGATCATCAACTGCTAATCTGCTAATTAACTTTTAGCACAATTTTGACTATTATTGTACTCAAATCCACATTCTATGAACCCAACCTTTTTAGTCTCGTAAACGAAAGATTATTAGATGGTCCGATGGTCCGAAACCACGTGGTTTGACCAATCACAAGTTTCCACGTAACAAAAAATTAAATAATATTATCAGGGACGGAGCTACTGAAGGGCTAATCTGGGGAGAAAAAAAAATAGTATTATTGTAGATCAGTTCACAGCTCGGTTCATATACAATACTACTTTTCCTCTTAGTTCAAACCATATACAATACTACTCTTCCTCTTAACCCAATCAACTTTGCAATCCTGACTCCGCCCCTAAATATGATCACATTTGATTGCATGGCTTCCCCCTTAATATTATCATATTTGATTGCATGACATATTGTGATTGATTGAAACCACGTAGTTCCAAATCATCTAATAATTTTTCAACAAGAGTTTTGCCTTTAATTTCCAAAAATGGAAACTAGAAACTACCTTTTAATTTATCACCACCTTTTGTCATCTACACTTGAAAATCTGCTTGCATTTTGTTCTTATTTAGGGGAAAAACAACATTATAGAGTTTATTGTCAAGTAACATGAAAAATAACACAAGACCAGCAGAGAGAAAGCAATTTAAGCAAATACTGCCCCCAAAAATTGAAGGAAAAAAAGGACATTCTATTAAGAACATAAGAAGTTACACAAGTACATTTTGGTCATTTTCCATTTCGTAGAAAGATGTTCTTTTACATGTGAATCCCCCCCTAACCCATGAACTGAAATTGGATCTTCTTGGGTAGACTTGAACCCATGAACCCATTCCCCAAACTACTCTCTCCTTTCCCTCCAAAACAGAGCCTCACACTCATATTTTCCTTCCCGCCAATTTTGACTGTTTGTAAGCTCGTTTGAAAAACATTTTCCAACCACTTTTCAAACAAGCTGTTGAGAAAACACCCAGACCCAAATAAAACTTCCTCTAACAGCATCTCTTCAACTGTGAAGCTTCCCAAATTTTTACTCCCAAACACCTCCTCAAAACACCCTTTGATCTTGAACAAGAACATCTCTCTCATCTGGCCATCTCGAGTCGAATTCCAATCGAAGATGAAGCGATTGTTTATCAATTCAAGGAACCCAACTGGATTCTGGAGATCATTTCCGGTTTCGCGAGTTAAATCACTTGAAATGGGGCTAAGATCTCCGGGTTTGCTTCCGTCTTCCTCATCCTCGTCGGCTCTGATGTTCAGATCAAGGGTGTTGGAACTCAGCTGCCTTGTGAATTCTTTCTTGCTGTTCCCATTCTCGACAGCAATGAACGAAGAGTGTTCCTTTTCGTTCATTCTCGGACTCTTGGCTTTGTTTGGCAATTCCCATTCAGCTTTCCTCTTGTGATCAAAGCTGGATGTCCCCGAATTTGGAATTGTTTCATTGAGCTGCAATTTCATCTGGATTACAGAATTCGAACTTTTGTTGTCATCTTCATAACTTGTAGGCTCACCCTTTGTTAGAATGAATATTGTTTGGCCAAAATCTCCTTCCCTTTTACTTGATTCTCCAAATTTTCCAGTTTCGAATCCATCAGCAAGAAATTTTATGAACTGTGCATCAGCAAAATCAACATCCTCCACTAGAACGACAAGTTTTTCGTGATTTCTGAAGGCTCTCTCGAGGACTTCAGAGCTAGGACTCATTCTGTGATCTCCATTTCTCATGTTTATGCAGAAAAGAGAATCAACTGAACCAAACATTGATTCCGCGATTGCACGTGCCAATCTTCTTTTTCCTACGATATCATTCCCCTCAATCAGTAACCAACTCTCCTTCTTGATTGATTTGGAGTCAATCAAAGCTTTCACTATTGAAGGGATGAGTTCTGCTTGCCATGGCACATTTTCTTGTACAAACTTGCACATTTCCTCATGATCTCTTGATTGTGCCAATTTTCCGGCATCAGAGAATAGAGAATTGCCAAGTGCAAGAGTGATCTTGACTTCTTTCCCTTCTGTGTTCTTAAGCGAATCAAGGCTTGGTTCCACTGGTTGGTGCTTGTGGTTCCCATTACTGAAACTGAACTCAATGTGACACGATTGTTGACGTCTGAAGCGAGGAAGAGAACTGGCACTTTGGCTGGGCTTCAAAGCTGAATCCGCGAATGAAATTGAATTGGAGTAGGGGGAGATGCTGCTCTGATTAGGCCACCACGGGTACGATGAAGCATAAGAGTAGCCCTTTCCAATTAATCCTTGATTGTTGAACAAAGAGGAATTTGGATGGTTATGAGTGTGCCTTCCCTGATGAAGGCTTTGGCACAATCTGTTCCATTTCCTCTTCAACTCAAATAAATAATCCTGAAATAAAGAGAGCATAAGTAAGAATTTCAATGTATAAATTGTTATAAAAATTATCTATAAATTGCTAGGATAATTTTGCTCAGATATATAAATGCTGGTTTTATATAGATCTTCTTACCTTTTGGCGTGGTTCGGCGCCATGTGATTGCAGCCAACAAGGCAAATGGGTTGAACCTTTGTCCACTTCCTTGGTGTTGCAAGAGCTTAGGTAATATGAAGAAGGCTTCTGCTGGCCTGACTTGAACAACCCAGCTTCTTTTTCATAATTGGAGGAGCATTCTGCACAGCAAGTGAGCTTATCTTCTTCCTCCTTGCTGATAAATGGCTTTGTTTCCAGCTCTTGAGATGGGTTATGTGGGAAGATTATCCTTGAATCATGCACACTGCAATAGATGAATACAATGAATATAAATTAGTGGAAATATGAAATTTATATGGTGGTAATGTTTCCAATAAATGCCATCATATTTAATAACTCAAAACAGTATCAATATAAAGTCTAATAGGCCATTAAGTGATGTAAAATATATATATAAATTTATTTTTCAAATTGACAAAAACCCCACTAAGCCAATCCTCTCAAGCTAAGTCCATCACTAAATGGTTAGAAATAAATAGTTTTGCTGGAAATTGAAGACGACACTACTAAGTACTAACAGAAGGTTTATGAATATCTCTTATGTCATTTGGAATGCTTTAAACATTATAAAAAAAAATAAAAACTAAAAAATTAGCATCATCGCTAAACATTTGATAATTATTTCCTGCTTAATTGTCTTTATTAGAATAAAGAAATAACAGCTATCAGTATCTGCATCCAGACAAAAAAACAAGGAGGAAACAAGAGAAACAGTGATTTACATGTGTCTTACAAGCCTTACTTTTTCACAGTGGAGACCAGGAAAGTTTAGCAACAGACAAGGACACAAAATAAAGCTTCAATGACTAGCCCAAAATGGTGTATGTGCTTATCAATACATGGAATACATAATTATGGATATAGATATACAGTAAAAACAAAAAACAAAAAAAACAAAACAAAATTAAAATTATTGGTTGACTCACCTTGTAGCATGAAGACTCAAACCAAGACCACCAGAAGGAACAGAAACAGCTTGAAGAGCCCATTGAATCTCAAGAGGGGGTTGCTTCATCTGGCACTTCATGTAAGTCTGATAATTTGCAGTTGCCATTAACCAAACATTTGTAGTGCTTGAGCTGCTGCTATACTCACAAAGCAACCTTCCCAACTCTGCAACCAAATGATCAATTGGACTATAACCAGAGACTTCTCCATTTGAACACCCTCCCTCTACCTCACAAGCACTTGGTTCAAGTGTCCATTTCAAGTCTCCTGTGTAGATAATCACTCCCACACCTCCTAATGCAAAAGAATCCACCTTCCTTTTCAGGTCTAATAGGTTCTGCTCAACTACTTCCCTCTTCATCATCCTCAAAGGAGATGAGAACTGAAACTTGACAAAACGGACTGATTTCAGCTCCTCAGGAACTTCTTTTCTCTCTATTTTACTCATCAGCTCAGCAACAAGGCCTTCAGTGATGGACACAGAGTCTCCAACTATCACTGTGTTTTTTCTCTTCTTCCTCGACAAGACCTCCAAAACCAACTTGATATCTTCCTTGAGAGAAGCTGAATCTGTGATGGGGTTGGTTGAAATCTTCTTTTGAGGGGAAAAGATTAAAGGGTTTTGGTCAGAAGTGTAAGTCAGGAATTGGGAATGCCAGAAATTGGTTGGATTGGGGGTTTCAGTGGGAGAAGGAGAGCAAGGAGAGGAATAAACCCCACCAGAGCTACTATTATAACACTGAAACACAGAAGAAGCAGAAGAGTCCTCAAGGTTGTTCTTGACAGCAGTGCTAGAGAAACCAGCTTCTTTCATAACCCTGCTAACACTAGGATCATCTAAGATAGACAAAATGAGCTGCTCAATCTCTACCTTAATAGCCAAAAGAGGCTGTTGTTGTTGCTGCTCTATGCAGCCTCTCCTCTGGTGTGCTTGTGCTCTCTTGAGTGCTGCAATCAGAGCATTGGAGAGAGAGGACTGACCATGGAGGAGTGGACCAGGTGTTGTTGGGAGCCTATTGAGAGCCACATTGAAGCAGAGCTCAAGAGCTCTGCACTGCAGAGGATGAGAAGTTTGGTGTGGCTGAGATTTGAGACAAGCCCTTCTCAAGAGACTAGCTCTTGAGCTCAGCAAAGTTGTGGCCACATGGAGAGGAGTGACCTGTGCATGGCCTCTCCTCCTAGCCAACGCTAGAGAGTGCTTCAATACTGAAGCAGCCTCTGTTGTGAGGGTCTGTGGCAATGTACAAGCCCCTGCACGCATCACTTAGCCAACACCCACCCCCCAAACCCCCCCTTTGTTACTACAACACTTATCTTCTTCAACACCTTTGCTTTTGATTTCTTCTCTATATCCCACTCTCTCTCTTTTCACACCACCCCCACCACTATGTGTTAAATGTGAGCTCAGCTCTTGATGTTATGAAGAAACTGGTTTGTTTTCTGATCTTAAGTAGGTGGGTGAAGTTTTGAGGGAGAGGGAGAGAGAGAGAGAGAGAGAGAGAAGAGAGATTGGAAGTGCTTTGGGAAAACTAGACTAGACCATACCACCTTTATATATACAACAATTGTTATGGAGGTTCTTAACCTTTTGCTTTTTATTACTGGTGGTGGTGACTATATATTTTTGCTTTTTATTGCTACTTACAGTTAAACTACATCAGACCTTTATCATCCATAGCTCCTACACAACCTACTGCGGTATAAATATCACTAGCCTCTTTGCATTTGTTTGGACTTGCCAATTCATATAACAAAACTCATTTATTATTTACCAGTACTAAAACATAATTTATGCAACTATTTACACAAAGTTGCTATTATGGTATTAGAAGGTCATTTTCACACTTTAAAACCTGCACTTAACTACTGCTACATTATTGTGTTTGGAACACATCTAAGTTCACATTCAAGTTGTCAGATTGGGTACCCCAAACATAGCATATAAATTTATTCCAAGAAAATGAAAAAGGAGGTTTCAATTTACGGTTCTTTCTATATATCTATGTCAATAAATGTAGTGAAAACAATTAGTGAAATTTATTCAGTACATGATTCAAATGCTGTTAATATTGTGTATACTTTGCTGCAGAGTTGTTTTTATGCAAAATGATGGGTTCACTACACCAAAAAAAAAAAAAAAAAAGTGGGGTCCACAAGTGGGACCCACAATTCAAAAATTACACTAGTGATGAAGAGAGATCAAGTCTGCTTTATTTTCCACATCAGCCTTTGAATGGACAGACAAAGCCAGCAGAAATTCAAATAAAGTACTAAAGGGAAAAGGTGGAAAGAAGGGCAGAGTGTGATGAGAGATAAAAAGGAAAGGTGGAATTTCTTTACCTTTTTCATGTTTATCATTTGTTCTTTGTATATAAATACATATAAGGGTTTGTTACCAAGATTGATTAAAAGGAGAGAGACCCTTCACGCCAATCCTCGTAGCACCATTTTATTCCCAAGTACCCAAAAAGCAACCCTCTGTCTGCTATCCTACATAGCATTATTGGCTCTTTTTCAGCCCCTCTTTCTCTCTCCTCTTTCTCTCTCTATACACCCTGCAATTACCTTTTGTCTTAATCCCATCTCATATTCCCAACTACCCAATTAATTTCTTTTTTATTTTTGGTTACCCAAAAAAGAAATAAAATCAGAAATTTATTGCTTAGATGGACCCCTTAATCCCATCTCATATTCCCAACTACCCAATTAGTTTCGTATTTTTTTTGGTTACCCAAAAAAGAAATGAAATCAGAAATTTATTGCTTAGATGGACCGTATAGGTGTTCACATTTTACTAAGATAAGTGTCAATGGTTTGGTTACTCATGTTTGAAAACCAAAACCATTGTCTAGGATGATTGTTGAAATCCATTTGTATTTCTCCTTTTTCCTTACAATATTTCTGTTTTCTTTGTTTTGATATTTGCAGACAATACTTGTATCTTTATTGATTAAGGTTGTTAAATTTCAAAGATGACACCAATCAAAGAAAAATTAATGAAAAAAATGTGTCATGCTATGTCCTATTTTCGCTTAAGATGATGTCATCTTGCCTGGTTATACTGAATTGAATCCATTGAGATGACTTATGTCTCTTTTAGCCAGCACTAGGAGTCCTTTTATCCATCAAAACTTCATAATTTTAGTTTTCTATTCACAATTTAACTCTTGGAGGGTATTCAACTCAATAAATAAATAAATAAAATAAAATAAAATACACCGAGTGTATGTAGTTTAAAATTTTAACAAAGAGAAAGCAGAATATTCCATGGAGATAAAACTCATTTCCATGTGTTATTCCGAATAGACAGTTTTAGAGTCTTGAGAAATTGTATTATTGTAGCGTTGGTTCATTTCAAAAAGTCCCCTTCAAAGGATTGAGCTTTGTGTGTGTGTGAGAGAGAGAGAGAGAGATTTGAAATTATAATACTGTTGATTTGAAATAATACTGTTGATTTGCAATTATAATCAATCAAATTAGTCCATTGCTGATCACTTGATTAAAAATGATAGCAAACGTGTGCATAATTTAGAAGAAAAAGATAATTAGTGGATTAAAGGTTCAAACCTACATACTGATCCAAATTAAAAGAGCAACAATGATGATAAAGCCTTGTACATGATGGTAAAATCATTATAAGCTTATAGCTGGGTGCAACAGGTTTGATCCAAAAGTGGTGTTGCATACCCATTTAGATTCAATGTGGAATACCACTAACACTCTCTCTCATTTGAACTCACAACGTTCTTGTCGACTCTGCTACTTGGGGTGACAACCGGACTCATTCGAATCGGAGGCTTGGTGTGACACCGGATCAAGTAATGGGTATGGCTCTGATACTAACTGTAACGGGTGAACGCTCGTCCACTGATCCAAAAGTTTAAGTTATTGAATAGTGCTGCATATCCACCTATTTATACCCATTTTACTTCTTATTTAGATCCGATGTGAGACATCGCTTGTACATGAAAAAAGGATTTACAACAAAAATGGGAAAAAGTAGAAGAAAAGTAAAAGGGATGGCTTCAAACAAGAAGCATTACCATTGCCCTTCCAAGAATAGCATCTACACAGTGGTTAAAAGTTGGAATTTAAAGGTAGTGTCTCCAAGTTTGCGTTAAAAGGAGCCAAAAGGAAGAAGAATGGTTAAGCCACTAGCAGAGAGAGACTAGGTAAAGTGGTTGAGTTGAAAGTGTTGCCAAAGGACAGTCAAATCTTCAACTGGCTTAAAGCTACCTTGTGGGCTTATAATTTTATCTTCATTTCTATTTTTCTTTTTCTTTTTTTTGAAGTTTGAGAAGTTGACAAGGGTTGTTAATTAATTAAATTTGTACCATTAAATATATTAAATTTATGAATATATAAGATTATCATCTTGCTGGAAACTCGACTTCTCAACTTGGGCTACTGTTGTTCCGAAATTTCTTGTAAATTTTGTTGTTTTAACTTATATATAAATGTCTAATACATGCTTATATAAGAAAATGGTAAATTACGCACACTAAACTTTCCTGAAATTTGAACAAATTACATATGAATAAAGCGTTCAACCTATATTACTTTGATCTCCTACAAGATTTGGTGTCTGCCCTCAAAGACCCCTAATCAAACGTCATGATTGTTTTAGGGTATGATTTTGCTATCTTTTTAGGGTTTGTTAATGGCTTTTATTGTCTTATGCGTTTTGTTTTTAGCTAAAACAAAAACAGTGTTCTTGTTATAGGAGTGTTTTGAAAAAAAATCGGAAGTCGTTTGGGAATAATGTTTTACTGTGGAAATGTTAGAAATAAAAATATAAACAGTTATAGTTTTGGACCATGAACAATTGTCAAAACAAAAAAAAAATTAACTTTTTGATGTTTTGATTTTGAGCACTATTCACAAATTATTTTAGCACTGTGTAAAATAAAATAAGGTCGTACCAAACATATTTTTTTAACCAAAATCAACACTGTAGGAGTCCAAAAACAAAAATAGCATAAACAAAACGCGAGCCAATCGGAGCCTTAGGGTTTGATTTTGCCTATAAATTACTCTGTATGAAGTTTTAGCAGTACCAAACAAATTAAGGAAGTAGAATGTGTTTTGCAGTGAACACATGTAGTATTAATTAGTAAAACAATTAATGACTTTTGGTTAAGCATGGATTAAAACAGGGTGTAATGCAAAAATTCTAACTTTTCAGCTGCATATAATTTGTTAAACAATGACTATTAACTTTTGCAGTCAAAGGTCATAGATATCGTCTAGGTCACCTCATGCAAAACTTTAAGATCAGAATCTAATAAATACCCTTTTAATCACTCTTGTCATTTACTGCACATCTTATGATTGAAAGCTTCATGTGAGGTATGATTTTGCTTACCGTAAAAGATAAAAAGCTGAAAAGAGTTTGAAAAAAAAAATTGTGATGATAAATTTTGTTAATGATCTGGGCACCCTTGAAATAAAAGATGGACAGGTCCAATTTCTTTATAAAGCATATATATATATATAAATATATATATGTATATATATATGTATATATCAATGTTGAGTGTGGGGTAATTGATGCCTCTTTGTTAGAGAGAATGTGGATTTTTACTAAAAGGGAGGGGGGTGCCCAAATCATTGGAACATTATATTTTCAAAGATTGATTAAAGGTGAGGGAATGAATAATAAGGTTCCTCTACTTAGAAGAAAAGTATCACTTTTATGGGGATTAATTGATGATGAGGTTGTGACAATTTACTTTGTGAAGTGAATAAATGTGCCATCTTTCGGAGTCCAATGATTTTGTTTGCTTGTTTGATAACAAATATTCAACAAAGCATCAAAGGGATTAATAACAAAACTACCAAATTTTGGGACATTTTAGGCCCACTGTGGAAAAGAGATGAACCATGTAACATGATTTAACCATAATAGTAAATCTTGTTCCATAAGGTTCACATGATGATCAAATGGACTCTGTTTTCTTTATTTTGTTTTCACTTCATTGCTTGCTTTCATGCTACATTGTAATGAGTTCATTTTGTTTTAAGTTGATTGTGCATGAAAGTGGCTACTTTATTAAAAAAAAACCTAATATTGCATATTGTGTTTGTCGCTAGTCTTTTATTCTGAAAAGTTTGGATAAACGAGATATACATTGAGTAATGCACTTTAAATATGACGGTATGGTAGTAAAATAACATTGAAACCCTTCTCATTTCTTTTTGAAAAAGAGTAAAAAAAAAAAATTATATGATTTCACCGACTTTAACTCAATAAGGACTTAAACCCTAAGTGTACATTAGAAATGCGAAAGTATCTATAGGTTATAATCTTGATAAAAAATGAGAGGATAAACTTTTTTTTATATAAAAAAAATGTCTATTCTATCCCTTCCCCTTTTTCCCATCCACCTTTTTTTTTTTTTTTTTTTACCTCTCTTCCAAAATTTTCATTCCTAGCTTCTATCAAACAAATTATAACAAAATGATTACAAAACTTTAATTGTCATATCTTTTTAGTTGGGTTGAACTTACTCTACTGAGAAGATAAAAT